TTGGCGCTCTCATTCTGGAGCAGACCTATCTCGCTCACAGTCCTCCCGGCCTATGTTGCGCTCATTGGAGGAAGAGGTTGCGGATCTTCGCACCTCGGTGGATGGTCTACACACAAGGATGGACGCCATGTCACAGCGGCAAGCTAGATCTGAGAACAAGTTTATGGCTTGGCTGCGTGCATTGGGAAGGGCCTGCCATGTAGATCCCAGTACCGTCTCCGACTCAGATTGAGTTTCAGGGAAGTTTTCTCACCCTTCTGTTCTTTATTGTATTCTGAGGACATGGGGACATGCCATTGTTTTAAGTGTGGGGTGGGAGACTTGCTCTGACTGTGTATGGTAATGTATATAGATGTATGTTGTTGTGCTGTATCATTAGAGTAATATGTTGTATGTGTGTGAGTTTGTTATATTAGGATTAGCTGACTTGGCCCAACGATGGACACTTTTTGACGGGTTTCTTGAGGGTCTAAGTCAAATAAAAAAAAAAAAAAAATCGACTGGTAGAGGACTTTTCCTGATGACGGACTAGGTGGACAATACTCTTGAGGGAAGTAGTCCATGTAGGATTTTTATTTTATTTTATTTTCTTCTTTTAGGTAGTGTATTACCTCCCCCTTGGTTTTTCTTTTGACCACGGTTCTTTTCCAAGGGTTTTTCTTGAACCGGGTTAGGTAGATTTTTCTTTTTGAAGTTTAAGAATAAATGGGTGAAGGTCAGAATGTAACCCCAAATGTGTACACTTGTATAGAAAAGAACCTGAGTGTGTGACATCTAAGTTTGTTTGTGGACTCATAATAAATGCCTTAATTTTGCACATCTTAACTTGCTTGAACACTCGTATGATTGTGTTGATGAACTGATTCGGAATGAGTTACATGCTAAGTGTGTTTGAGCTGTTACTTGCATCTAATGTTTGCATATGATACCTAGAACTTGCCCTGTGTGTTTGCAAAGCGAAATAGAAGTTGTTTGGTTTTAGAGATGATTGAGGCATTTCTTTGTTTAACCCTTTATACTTGAAAATCCACCTGTGCATATTACCATAGTTAAACCCTTTTGAGCCTGAAGCCTTTTCTTTGATAACCCTATAATGATCTAAAATGTGGTGTTTAAATGCGCTAATTGAACTCTTCCCTCCTAAAAGCACTTGAAGCACTAAAATATATACAAAAGTCAAAGTGTGGGGTGGGGAGAAAGAAAAAAAAAAAAAAAAAAAAAGAAGGGAAAATCAAGAATGAAGGTCGGATTGGTGAACTGGCAGTGTATAATAAATCTGAAAAAAAAAGAAAGAAAGAAGAGAACAGAGAAAAAGAAAAGTAGTCAGTTGTACCAAACGAGAAGTGGGGTGGCGCAAGTGAAACAAAATGTGGAGAAACAAGTGGGTTGATCATGGAAGTAAAATAAAAGGAAGTGTGTATTAAAAGTGCTTAGGGAGGTTAGTCACTATATCCAAATATATCCTACCCGTCCCTTAGCCTACATTACAACCTATAAAGACCTCTTGATCTTTGACTGAATGACTCGATTAGTGGAGTATTACACTAGGGGCAAGCTTATGGTGTGTCTGTGTGGCATGTGAATGCTCTTTGCTGAGAGTGAGTGAATTCTTTCTATATATGGTTCCTTATTGTTGAATTTTATGTGTGTGTGGAACTTCTCTCAAATTTTGTGTATGTGAGGGCATGTGACTCTGGAAGAAAAAGTGAGTCTTCACTTCTGTTAGAGTAATTAGAGTGAGCACAAGTGTGTCTTGGCATGAGAGTCTGCATTTGAGATATGATTGTGCACCGCTTAGGTCAATCTTTGATAATAGCAGGTGTGACATAAATTGGGGCAATGCATTGAGCAGTTAGGCCTAGAAGTGTGGTTTAGTTTGCTCGAGGACGAGCAGAGGTTTAAGTGTGGGGTGTTGATAATAGGTGAATTTGACTATAATCACGCACCAAATAATCACCTTCTTGTGAACTTTTAATGTGGAAAATGACAACAAAATGCTCTTATTAGTGCTTTACATGATTTGCAGGTGATATAGGTGTAAGGAAGGCTAAGGAGCGGTTTTGGAGTCAACTATTGATGAAAAGAGGCTAATTGTTGAATTTCCCAAGTAACCCATTCAAAACAGGCCAAAATGCCTGGGTACAAGTTCCACCGCGGTTCTACCGCGACCGCGGTGAAACCGCGGTGGAAGGCAGTCTCTGAAGGTTGAAGATTCCGCGAAGGCATTTGACCGCGGTTCTACCGCGACCGCGGTAGAACCGCGGTGGGCACAGTAAACTTCGGGGACTTAAGTGTAAAACACGGGATTTTTAGACCTAAACCCTATTTAAAACGCTGGACTTCACCCAAAAGAGGCATGTATTGATTTCTAAGGGTTCTTAGCAAGAAAAACAATTGTGAGAAAGTACTCTAAACATCTTTCTTCTTTTCTTTTGATTTTATGATGAATTCAAGCTTAGTTTATTCTCCCATAGTCATGAGTAGCTAAATTCCTTGTCTAAGGCTTTGATGGAACCTATTGAGTGATGAACTTCTTGTTTATGTGAATACAAATTGCTAGTTAAATCTTTATTTGTTCAACTTCGTGTTCGTTGTAGTTAATTGACAGGATCCTCAATTAGCTATGCCTATTTAGTGTGCATAACTTGGAAAAGAGTACATATTTAGGGTATTGTTGAACAACACCACTCCTAGATTATTAGAGGAATCTATAATTGCGGGTTTAAAGGCGGGATTAGGAATAACGAAGCCTTGGGTGCAATTTAAATTGAATTGTGCGAAATTAAGCAAGCTAGTGTATCTCGGGAGAGTGCAATAGTAGATTACTGTGATTACTCGGGAGAGATTTGCGGTAAGATTAGCATTCATGATTGATAGAGATGTGGGGGTAAATTTGTATGAGCATAAACAGAAGGGATTCCATCAATAGGGGAAATCATTGCCTTAGCTTTTTCTCATAATTGTTTACAACCCTTCTAATTTAGTTATAGCCTTTTTATTTACTTGCAAGTTAGTTATTAAAGAACAATCAACTGAGAATTTGAATATTCGGGAAGCTGGTTCTGAAGACTTGGTGGGTCTGAAGGTAGCAGTTGGTAGGTTAACTCTCTGTGGGATTCGACTCCGAACTTGTAAACCGAATTATATTTGCAGCGACCGCATTGTCCTTTTTATAAGGCATAATTGGGCGTGATCAGATCACTCACACAAATACATTGAATACATTGCATAAACAGTATACTTTGTCGTATTCATTGCGCAAACAACAATATTCAATCATAAACAACACCATAAGACCTTCCCCACATATCCCAAAAACATCACAATATAGGTATTACTGAGTTTAATATTTTATGAAGAAATGCCAAATACAACTTTACTCAAGCCAACAAATATAGAAACTAACATTTCTGAAAATGCCACAAATTCCATTAAACTACAACAATAGAAGTGCTGGGTGTTCTATTTTTTCACCCAGTTTTCACCATTTTTACCATCGTGTAAATCTACTTACTAACCTGTCATGAATCACTCTTTGATAAGACGGGATGCTAATAATCAAATAATAATACAGCGTCTGCCAATAAAATACACTTCCATAAATAAAGTCAAGTATTTTAAAGCAAGTGCGTGTGCGTATGAATATAAAGATATATAATTTGTAAAATACATAAATGACCCCTTTAAGTTGTCCACAACAATCCCAATAGACTGATTTACCTAGTTGACACCTCCAGTTATTTTTTAATGTGTCTTATGGACACTCATGCCTTGCAAATCTTATGGGTGAATTACACTCGCGGATGACATGGAAAGTTAACAAATCAAAAGTAAAACCCATAATTACTTAAAAAAATCTATCTTATATATTAATAGAAAAGGAGAAGAGAAACGCAATATTAATGAAAAAGCAAAAACTAAATCATACCCCTCCTCTCCCCCAAAAATCTTCTTCTTCGTCACCAAAGGCCATCATTCTACCAAATCGGACCGTCTTCCCCTCCTTCTCCCTCAGCCCAAACTTCTTCTTCTTCTTCATAGCCCGCCACAATAAGAAGACTTGAAGAGATTAGTAGTTCGGTGGTTAATCGGCAGATAGGTGGTGGAAACGGCGAGAAGATACAAGTTGGGTGTGTTGTCTAAGAGTATTACTGTTCAAAAGGATGAAAAAAATATGGAGATCCGGCCGGTGAATTGAAGGTGGTCGTCGAGTATAAGTGGTGTTCTTGTATAAGAAAATAACGTCTGCTTATTGGAATTTGGAGCTAGATGAACCTATCTATGTCAAATTGAAATACATGGAATCAAAATCCAAAAAAAAAATTATATTTTAATTGACTCATAACTAAAAAATCATTTTCATGTTGAATTTCTAGTTCTTTTTTTAAATAATGGATTTGCCCATCTGAAAATTGTGCTGGGACTTCCTTTTCATGGTAAAGTTTGAGATTAGTGGTTTAAGTGGGCTCCACTAGTTAATTAAAGAAATAAACATAATTTTTGGAGGCTTCACTTGCTGCAAAGCGAGTGTAGTACATATATTTTGCCACGTCAATTTGAAGAGTTTAAGAGATGCACTGAAAAATAATTTGAGGCGTCTACTAGACAAATAGGTCTGTGGAGGTGTCCATTTGATTGTGATGACAACTTAAAGGGACCATTTATATATTTCGCCTATATAAAAGTCTGTGAAGGTGTCCATTTGATTGTGATGACAACTTAAAGGGACCATTTATATATTTCGCCTATATAATTTCATAAAACATCATGCACTTATGAGAGAGTTTTTTAAGAAAAAGACATAAAAACCCAAATAGGTAATTACTTTGACTTATTCAAACCATAGTCCAAGTTAGCATTTTGGACATATATTTGAAGTTGAAGCTGAAAGCTTTATTAAAAATTAAAGTTGAGAAAAATCTTATGAAAGTCAACCATGTTTGATATTTAAGTTTTTTTGGAAAATAAAGTTTATGAAAGTCATTGAAGATTTTTGAGAGTTAGAAAATTGAAGATTTAAATAAATTTACTTGAAAATACACCAGTGTTGAATCATTGGAAGAACCTTACAACAAATTAAACCTTAAATTTTACATGCATTATTTTCTTACAATTACCAACACAATAAATATAATTTTTCTAAGATAGTTAATTCCTTTTCATTTTTTTTCTCCTTGTAAAATAAAGACAAAGTAAAGCTAGACATTTGTTGAGTTCTCATACTGGTCAGCCATTTGAACATTATCGACATTATTTCCTTGTGCTTCTACATAAGGGCTGTTGCCTCCACTAGTTTTCCCTGCAAATTGCAACTTTGTTAGTACACAAACAATTGCATACTTGTACATATTTAATTAAGGTGAATTTCTATACATCGACACTGTAAAAGACATTTTACACTATTATGTTACACCAAAGAGAATTATACGTAATTATACTCATAAAAAAGTGGAATAAGTTAAGTTATGGACATTGACAATATAAAAAAAAAATTTACCATCAATAAATTTTAATATGTGATAGCAGCTTAGTACCATTTTATGAAGTTAACAATTAATGTGTATAATCATACAAATTTACATGTACTTACTTTATATGTGACCTAATTGTATAAATATTATGTAAATTATCAGTACAGAGAATTTAAATTTTAAGTGAAATTAGTATACTGATAAATATATATAAGGCAGACAACACTAATATAGTCAGACCTCTTTATAACAACATCCCTATATAATAATCATTCATTGTAAAAGCCAAGTTTTTCTCGGACCGATTTTTATGTTATGTTATAATATATGTCCTCTATAACAACATTTCACTATAGCAGCCAAAAAATATCGAAAAAACGAGGATGTTACAGAGAGGTTTGATTGTACTGTAAAAGCTCTTTGCACAAAGAGTATATACAGTCAGACCTCTCTTTAATAACATCCCTATATAACAATCATTCACTATAAAAGCCATATTTTTCTTGAAACCGAGTTTTATATTACGTAAAGTATATATAATATATGATTTCTATAACAACACTTTACTATAGCCGCCAAAAAATATCGGAACAAACGAGGTTGTTATAGAGAAGTTTGATGGTATAAGTTAGTAAATCTTACTTAATTTGTTAATTATGCTTTTTATTATGGCGCCCTAAAACCTCACCTGGGGTGATAGCTGCAGACGCTGTAGCCTTTTTACTATTATAGTTTAAAATAGCAATGACGCCCACAATAGCCCAAATGAGGAAGAAGGCTGGAATTGTAGTGCCAAGAATTATAGGCAATTTGTTTTTCTTCTTCTTCTTCTTCTTTGGCGATTTAGCGGATCGAGTTGTTGGCTGATTTCCTCCTGATGATGAATCAGTAGTGGTCTGGCAAGACTCATCAGATTGACTGCACAAATCTGAATTGCCTGAAATACTAAATATATAGTAGAAAAGTTGAATTAAATTAGTGTTTAGCACATTACAAGTCCAAGAAATAGAACATGTAAAAAATTTGCTAGTTGCTTTTCTTACTCTATGTTTAATCCATTTTTGTTTGACAATGAGGCAGGTATTGATCCACTGAACTGGTTATTTGCCAAATTCCTGGAACAAATCAAATTCAATTGTTACTGATTATTGTCATATTAATAGCGTGTTCGGTCAAGTTTTTCCAAATCCAAAAGTATTTTTTAAAGAAGGTTTTTTTTTAAAAAGAAAATGCTTTTGAGTAGAAGAGGAGGCAGTTTTGGAGAAGTAGAAAAAAGTAGCTTCTCTCGAAAAGCACATTTTTGAAAAGCACTTTTGTGAAAAATAAACTTAGATGCAATTTTTAAAAGTTTTGTCAAACACTAATTGCTGCTCAGAATTACTTTTCAAATTAATTAGTCAAACACAAACTGCTTCTCACCAAAAGTACTTTTGAAAAAACACTTTTAAGAAAAGGCACTTATCAAAATAAGTTGATTTTTACAGCTTGGCCAAACAAGCTATAATTATCGAAAGCTTTTAGCATATTTATCATAATAATGTTTTAGTTCTAGGTATTGACGATGCAAAAAATATTTACGCAATCATATATAGGTAAATTGTTAGTATATATAACTTAAATTTATAAAGAATATAATATTTTTATACTTACAGTTCTTTAAGATTTGGTAAGGTGCCAAGGAAATCAGGAATAGGTCCATCCAAATTGTTGCCACTCAAATCACTGCAATCCAAGAAAAAGGAGAGTAAGAAATTAAAATAATATCCCTATTTGGGAAGAAATTGAATGTATTTAAATTAAACGAGGAAAAAAAGAATAAGAAATACATTGTCTGAAGAGCATCCATGGAACTAAGATCTGGAAGTGATCCTGAAAGATTGAAGCCACTCAAGTACCTGTAAATTAATTATTTCAACAAAATTTTAGAATTAATATAAAAGCATGTATTATCTTATTAATTATCACTACTAGAAATTCAGCAAAAACCGACCAAGAAAAATCGACCAACTTTGGTCGGTAAAAAAACCGGCCAAAAACCGACCAAAGTTGGTCGGTTTTTCAAAATATTTTAACTTTTAATTTTTTTTAACGAAACCGACCAACTTTGGTCGGTTTTCTTTGGCGCAAAAATGCGGGAAACTATTTTTGAGTCCAGCGAAATTTATTTTTCAAGAAACCGACCAACTTTGATCGGTTTTTGCAATTAAAATAATTTAAAATTAATATTAAAAAAACCGACCAACTTTGTTCGGTAAATCCGGCCGGTCATTTTAAAAAATCGACCAACTTTGGTCGGTAATTTTATTTTTTAATAAAATCGACCAACTTTGGTCGGTTATTTTCGTGCGAAAATAAAATTAAAGAGTTTAAATAAAAGAAAAGACAATCTTAAAACAAAATGCACCAATGGTCTTGTGGTAGAATAGTATCGTGCCACAATACAAACCCCGGTTCGATTCCCAGACGGTGAATCTTTTGATTACATAATTAAAATACCGACCAACTTTGGTCGGTTTTTTTTTTTTGCAATATTTTTTTTTCGAAATTTAATTTACCGACCAACGTTGGTCGGTAATTTCCGACCAACTTTGGTCGGTATAGTAAAGCGACCACCAAAATACCGTCCAAGCGTATTTGGTCGCATTTTGGTCGGTAATTGGTCATAACCGACCAATGTTGGTCAATTTTTTTTATCGCTAATTACCGGATTTCTAATAGTGTATATTAATTAAGATGGTGCTTACAGTGCTGTTATGCGAGGTGGACCATCACTGCTACAATTAACCCAATCCCAAGTAAAGGATGTTGGAAGACAAGGATCACCATTCCATTCTTGTAATACCTCAAATTCATCTTGCAGTGATACTAAGCTCTCCACTATACAAAAATATCATATACTACTTAATTAAATATAATATTCCATATATAATTTAATAAGATTAAACCCATCAATAAATAAAAGATTTAAGTTAAATACACTGATAGCGTAAAGAATTTTACATTATCGTGCACTTTCATCGTCTATAAAAAATTTATTACTCATTTTTTCAGATTGATACGAAAGAGTTACTTTTTGTTGTAGGTGATCAACTTAACCTAATTGTGCAAAAGAATTTATACACTATCAATACATAAATTTAAACTCATAGATGAATGAATTTATCTCCACGCACCAATAATGTAAAGAACTTTTAGACTATCGGGTCGAATTGACCTACAACAACAGCTAACTCTCGATATTACGTAATTATTATGATATAGGAGTGAAAAATGGGCTGTTTGGGCTGGTCAAGATTGTAACCCAACATAGTATGATATGATGATTAGTAAAATAAAATATCACGTGCTATAATCAGTTAAATTACACTGATAGTGTAAATATTGTTTACGTTGTTAGTGTGCATGACTTAACTTTGAATAAATAGTAGGGTACGTAGTACGTACCATCTTGACTGTTTGTTCCATCAGTCAACACATCACTAATGATGAATAATTCCAAGGCATTGATAAGAGGAGGAAGTGTTGAATCAGGAGTAGGGACAAGAGAAAAAGTAGTGTTTGGTGTAACAGTAAGATTACTAACAAACAATTGAGTAAAATTTCCATATGGTGGTAAAATAGGGTCTGAAAAAGGCTCAATATCTTTCAAAATTCTGAAGGATCTTGTTTGGTTTGAGTCAAGTTGAGTCACTTCAGAAAAATACATGTTCATGTAAATTGGAACTTCAAAGGGAAGAAATTTCATGTTTAAAGTTATGAAATTGGATGAATTGATTGTAGAAATAGCATTTTGTAGCACTTGTTGTGGAGGATGATCTACTTGAGTTGTATCAATGTTTGTGGCTTCGTTTGAGACTGATATTAGTCCATTTCCAGGAATTCCTGGCACCCATATTCTGTCATAAGGATCATCTATGTACCTGTTCATTTTGTTAAAAGAGAAATCCGTTAATGAAACAGCCTCTTGCGTATATAAATGTAGGGTAAGGCTGCATACAATTATAGACCCTTGTGGTCCGGCCCTTTCCCGAACCCCGCGCATAACGGAAGCTTAGTGCACCGGACTGCCCTTTTAAAAACGTGTTAATGAAAGGGGAAAAAACAATAGGTATAGCTTCAAAAATTTAGTCATTATGCATAAAAAACAATAATAACGACTAGATCTAGACTTCAATTTCAAACAAATTGGGGTCGGCTATATGAACTGTTACTATCCATATTGTATTGATCTATATATGCGCGCATAAGAACTAATTTCTCTAACACTAAAATATTTGAAGTTCATATTATAACATGACAATATGTTCGTATAACATGCATAAACCAAAACATATAAACATTGTTTAATTTTTTCACATTAATTAGCACCAAAAGCGGAGCTGTATGGTCAAAAGGAGTTCAATTGAATCTCATTCACTAGAAGCTATATATAGCTAGTGTGCAAAAAAAAATAAAAAAAAATTCTTCTGTATGTAGTTCTATAAATTGTTGAATCTTTTTAACATATGTGGAGCTTATAGTATAGTAGCAAAGGTGCCTAAAAAATTGCTTAAGTCACAAATATGAATAACAGGATGTGACATTTCGCATTGTTTAAATCTCTTGTTAGAATTTCTGACTCCACCCAGAGGTGGATGCAATGCATGGGCATCGGGTTCAACTGAACCCAGTACTTTTGGCGCAAAGCATAAGTTTATCTGTAAAAATTCATTAATATTGCAATATATATCAATATGAACTCATAACTTTAAAAATAAAATAGGTTCAATGCTAAAAACCTTAAGGATCGTTTATTACGCGGGATAAGGTGAGATAAGATGTGAGATTAAATTTATACCATGTTTGGTTGATGGTATAAATTTACCAAATATCGTATAAGTTTAATCCCAATCTTAATACAGAATATCCCACCTTATCCCATCAAACTTGGGATTATATTATCCCACCTCCCAGATGGGATAAATTAGTCCAGGGATTATAATCCCGGATAATTTAATCCGAATACCAAACGACCCTTTAAGGTTGAACCCATAAAACTTAAATCCTAGATCGGTCTCCGACTCCACCACTGATTAACACTGAATCGAAGTCTAACACAAAGATAGAATTAGGAATATATATAACATAGAGACTTGTACGTACCTGATAGTTTGATTGGAACCATAAGCAACTCTTCTGTTCAAGAACAAAGCATAATTGGAATCAACATGACTATACATATTAGAATCCAAACTACGAACTTCAAGTGCTGAGATAAAAGGAAACTGATCAGCCACAGTCTGAGCAAGACAGACACTAAGGTAATCCCCTTTAACAACATAAATTGTCTCGTAATAAACAAGTTGGTCACTAGTTTTGACATTGGCCTTATTCCCATCAAATTGAAGTGAAAATGATGGAGGTGAAGATTTTCCATCGTAATTTCCATAGTTAAAGCTCGCTCGAATTAAAACTCGAACGCCTTTTTCGACTTTAATGAGGTAGCAATTCTTGTTTCTGCTAGTGAAAACTCTAAGAGTGTCCATTACATGAGATAATGAGTTGCTGGATTTTACAACGTAGGATTTTCCATTGCTTATATAATCTTCATCTCCTAACCAGACTATTGAATTTTCGTCTGTGTACGTTTCTGATGATCCACAATCAAGGCTCACAAACACTGCAAATAAAGGGAAAAAATAGAAAAGAACAGAAATTAATTAGCAAGATATATTAAATAGAATATGGTTTTCAGAAGGTATAAATAATTAAGCTATATAAGCTTACCATCAGCAGAAACTGAAGAGAAAACACAGAGAACTAAAACAAGTAGGAAAAAATGGCTGCTAGCCATGCTGAAGTAGAGAATGATGGATAATGAAGCTTGGGGCTGCAGCATTATATATATATATATATATATATATATATATATATATATATATATATATATGGACAGTTTGTTATATAATTAATTGTTAGATAGTGATGGTTTAGTGTCTATTTTAAACCAATGGAATGGCAAAATTAGTTGACCTTATGTTTGGCGTATATTTTTCACTCGTTTACTAGCTTTCATGGTGTAATATATTTTCATCGAAATACTAGGGTATTTATTCATGCATCAACGAATTAACAGAAATTTTATTAGATAGTAATTAATACCTTTGGAAATCTGTATGCATGAAAACCCAAAATAAGGCATAGCGTAAAAAGATTGATCACTTTACATGTATAATAGGGGCGGATGTAGCTTACGGGCTATGGATTCATCAAACTCATAAATTTCGACACTTTATATATCTAAAAATGAAGAGAAACAAATGGTCTGCTACTCTGGTAGTATAATTTTAACTGAACAGTTTTTGAGTAAGAATCGAAGAATTTTACTACGTTGACTTTGACTTCAGTAAGGAGTTAATCTAGGAAGCCAACTAATATGCCAGATGATATAAAAGGGATTAAAGACGACTTTGAACTTGTCAAAGTAAACTGCAGAATTTGTACATAGTGAATGTATCATGATCTGTCGATCTATCTCTCCATTTTGGATTATGTACCAACTTCCTGCATTTCTTCCTCGTAGAAAATGCAGACGACAAGGACTTTTGTGAGGTATGTCAGTCGATGGCCAAAGATGCTTCATTAGCACCATACGTTTATTGGTTGTTGCCGACTTCGTGCAAAAGAAAGGGAGCCAAAAAATGCTAGAAGTATATATATCTTATTACAAGTGTCAAGTGTATTGGGAGAAAGATTACCCAGATACGCCAAAAAATGCTAGAAGATACAAGTGCATGTCGTCATTCAAAATGAGATTACTCTTAACTAAAGGTCAAATTGTTAAACCTTCAGCTACATTATCCCAGCACTAGAATTATCAATTTGTAAAGTAATTCGACGCTACCCCATGTCACAGGCTAGTTGAAAACTATTGAGAACTCTCTACAGCTCAACTCTAAAAGGATGTGCAGTCCCTATTTTTGACTGAAAATTTTCCAAGCCACTTACCATCGGAGTCATGAAAATGTAACGACTCAACTTGTCGTTTTAAGAATTTACGCCCCGTTCAGAGACTTAAGGTCTCGAGCAACTTCGTAATATGTATTATGACTTGCGTGTACGGTCGAGTTTGGTTTTCGGAAGATTCGGAATTTAATTGAAAGAACAACTCTCATTTTTTAAGCTTAAATGAAAAGAGTTGACCGGAGTTTGACTTTTGAGCAAACGACTCCGGAATAGAATTTTAATAATTCCAATAGCTTAGTATGGCGATTTTGGACTTAGGCGTATGCTCGGATTTGGATTTGGAAGTCCGTAGGACAATTCGACGCATTTTGGCGAAAGTTGGAAAATAGAAGATTTTTGGAAAGTTTGGCCGGGGAGTCAACTTTTTGATATCGGGATCGAAATCCGATTTTGGAAATTAGAACAGCTCCGTTATGTGATTTATGACTTGTGTGCAAAATTTGAGGTTAACCGGAATTGATTTGATAGGCTTCGGCATCGAATGTAGAATTTGGAATTTGTTAGTTTTGAATAGGCTTGAATTGGGGTGCGATTCGTGTTTTAGTGTTGTTCAATGTAATTTGAGGCATCGACTAAGTTCGTGTCATATTATGGGACTTGTTATTATACTTGGATGGGGTCCCATAGAGCTCGGATGAGTTTCGGAAGAGTTTGGTATTTTGAGAAAAAGCATGTAATGACCCAAAAGTCCATTTTTAGTTCTAGAGATCGGAATTCTATTTCGAGACTTCCGAGAGTTTGATAAAGAATTATAGGAATGATCTGGAAAGTTTGGTCTAATTTTATCAAGTCGCGATTGGGTTTTTAGCGCGAAACATGAGTTAATTGTTTAACGAGCGAAATTGATATCGCATTGAGCAAATGAGCTCCAATTGAGTTTCGATTGAAGGACTAGGTTCGTATTATTTGTGACTCATAGGAACAAGAATCGTCGAATTCCGAGTTCGTATGGTGGAGTTATAGCCTTTTTAGTAAAAATAGATATTGCTGGTGCAACAGGATCTGGTGCGCACCTATAGCGACCAGATTTGGCACTTTTAGCGCGGGAATTGAGCTTTTAGCGACCAGGATCGTGTTTCTTATTGAGCAGTCTTGTTTTTTTTTAGCTCATTTCAACATTTTTGGACGAAAAGAACGCGGCTTGGGGCGATTTTTGAGCGAGAAATCATGGGAAATCTTGAGGTAAGTCACTTGTGATCATTTCTACTCCATAATATTGAATTATCATCGAATAATCCGACTAGATTACATGTTTTTGAGGTGTAAATCGGGGATTTGGACCTAGGGATTTGAAAATAAGATTTGAGAATTCGGAGGCCGAATTGTTATCGAAATATAGTAATTTTGGTATGGTTGGACTCGTGGTTGAATGGGCATTCATATTTCGTAACTTTCGACGGATTCCGAGACGTGGGCCCCACGGGTGATTTTTGAGTTAATTTCGGATTTTATTGGAAAATTTAGTATTTTCATATGGGATTGATTCCTATAATTTCTGTTGACTGTATTGAATTATTTTGGCTAGATTTGAACCATTCGGAGTTGGATAATCGAAGAAAAGGTCTACTATTGGATTGAGATAGCGTGATTTGAGGTAAGTATCTTGCCTAACCTTGTGTGGGAGAATTTTCCCGTAGGCATTGAGTCTTATGTGAAAATTGTGTGATTGAAAATAATGTACGCAAGGTGACGAGTACGTACTTGGTTTATATGTTCAAATTATATCGGTTAAAATTCGTAGACACCCTTATGTATTAAATTGGAAAATTGTTGGAACTTATTAAATCCCTTGTTTGTCATGCCTCATTCCTTGTTTGCCGAGGTTATTTTTATATGATAATTTAATGATTGCCACTTGACCTTTATGTGAACTCTGTGTTTGTTTGAGATGCCATTTTTATGGAAAATACTTTTTTTATTGATTTTATCTATAGATAATTTAAATGGGAAATTTAGTTAATAAGATGAATAAATCTATTTATTTTCTGAAGTTGTGATTTAAAAGAGATATTGTACCTTGATGAATTACCTTTCAGTTCATGTTGTTGAAAACTTGGTATTGAATTATAAAGGCCGTGAATCATATTGAGGCAAAGTGCCAAATTGTGAAATATTATTCGGTTGAGTTGTTCACTCCCGAACATATTGCTAAGATGTTGTGCACATTATGGGTAGAAATGACGTGGGATAGCCACTATTTACGGTGGTATTTATTTTTTATCCAGCAATTCTAATGTTGAGCAAAAATAGCCACTACCCTATTAAAATTAATATGAAAAGACAATTGTACCCTTTCCTCCATTGCTTTTCTTCCCAAACCCTTGCTTCTCTCAACGTCAGTAGCCTTGGCAAGGACCTCGAAGAACTTCTCACCCTTCCCATCTCGCCTGGCCGTGATGTTCAAGGATAGTGATAATTATCATTGGAGAGATTAGATCTTCTCGTGTGCAGACTACTAGGAAATACATAAATAATTGCAATTATTTTTGCTCATACAGACAAGCAACTAAATCGTCATCACTTGTATTTTCATCAGACTAGTAATGAAAAGGTTATGTAGATTTGTCTTATCAATGTTGTATCCAAGCCAAATCTGACATCAATCTTATATGTAAATTGCAATTATTATTATTATTATTATTTTGTGAAAAGATACAAATAACGTTTGGTTTTCTGCTACGTTATGGATCCAGAACTTACAGTTACAAGTTTAAAAGTTAAGGACACTTGATCCTGAACTTCGAGTTCCAAGTTCATAAGTTAAGGACACTTGGTCCTGAACTTAGAATTACAAGTTCAAAAGTTAAGGACACTTGGTCCTGAACTTAGACTAACAAACTCAAAAGTTAAGGAAAATAGGTCCTGAACTTACAGTTACAAGTTCAAAAGTTAAGGACAATAGGTCCTTGACTTTGATTTCCAAGTTCAAAAGTTAAGGACAGACAGTCCTTAACTTACAGTTACACGTTTAAAAGTTAAGGACAAGCAGTCCTTAACTTACAGTTACAAGTTCAAAAGTTAAGGACAATAGGTCCTTAACTTTGATTTCCAAGTTCAAAAGTTAAGGACAGACAGTCCTTAACTTACAGTTACACGTTCAAAAGTTAAGGACAAGCAGTACTTAACTTACAGTTACAAGTTCAAAAGTTAAGGACGCTTGGTCTTGAAGTTTGAGTTCCAAGTTCAAAAGTTAAGGACATGTAGCCCTGAAGTCCTGAACTTAGAGTTCCAAGTTCAAAAGTTAAGGACATGTAGTCGAGTTACAGGTTAAAAAGTTAAGGACATGTAGTCCTGAAGTCCTGAAGTTAAGGACATGAGCAGAAGGGTATTTTCGTCCGGGCAGTTAAAGTTTATTAAAGCAGTGGCTAAAGACTAAAGACATTTTAAACGGTGGCTTAAAAGTAAATACACGTATTATTAGTGGCCAACCGTGCACTTCCCCCCTTAAGGGGTTACAGGTTCGGGTCAGATCAACATGTTTTGATTAGTGGGTCAAATCCGTACCTGTCCCTATAAGAACGTGAACCGGACCAGCCCGGTTAAGGACCCACGGGCCAAGAGTTAACTGGTCCAGGTCCAAGTTGGGTCGACCCATTTAACAGGTATATGTGGCAATTATCAGATTATATAAAATCTCTTCAAATGATAAGAGGACATTCAGAAGCACATAAGAGGGTGGCCAAATGGTTTTCAGATTAAAAATCTTAGAAATCAAGTTTTAAATCTGAGACAAAAAAATATTAAGTGATTTTTTCGGTCTGTTATTTTTACTAATAAGATAGCAAGTACTCGATGAAATAATGGAGGATCGAGGTGGTTGCAAATTGATTGGGACAAAACTCTTGTAGAAAAAGAGAA